TACAGTATTACATATAAAGCCAACTTCTCCACAGAACACACTGCATGCCCTAACAGTCTAAAGCCTGGCATAGAGCTGTTTATGAAGTAAACAAAGGGCTTGTCTTTCTTCATTATCCCCACTTTGGTATGATATTCTAGAAATCAAGTCATTAAATCATTCTATTCAGTGCTTACTAGTATGGGATTCATCAAAAATGAATCAAATCATTCTACAACTAAGCATAAAATACAAACCCAAAAATATGATTCACATTCTTAAAGACGCCTATAATTATCAACATAAAAGAGCCTCCCTCTGCTAATATAGTACTTTTTAAAGGCATATAAATTGCAATTTGATGCAATACCCAGATGCTTATTTTGCTCAGCAATTAATTCAATTAAAAATGTGCATATTATGAATCATATTAAATCCAGCCAAGATGAAATAATTTGAAAATTTATTTGAAATTGATTTACTTACTATCAATATTTCAAATTTCAAGAATGCTGTTTTATAGGAAAACTTCACCTGCTCCTCCCCTTTGGTCTCATAATCATCTGTGATGCTCTGATCATGCTAATACAGAAATAAGACTGGCTCCCATACCTAACCCCTCTATACACATGACACCTCATACGAAGGCATACACAGAGGAGTGCAAAGGCACTGATGAGAAAATACTTTTGCCAGTATCAGAAACAGTGCTGTAAACAGCGGTAAACATATCCCTGTATGTGTACACTGTATCTGAAGCACAGACGAACAGATTGGTGTATATCCACCACTCCCAACCCGCACACGGAGATCACCTCTGGAAGCAGAAGCAGAAATGGGGGAAAGAAGCTGGGGGAAGACTTTTCCTCTTTACTGGGCATTATTTTATGTTGTGTTGATTTTTATAATGAAATTTATTCTTATATTTCTTAAGTTCAAAAACAAAAGGTGAAAACCGATTCCATCCTTGTGGGCACAAGGGACATGACACCCCGTAATACCTCAGCAGCCTCTCATAAATAACTCGATGGCATCGCCCCACACATCACATGCTCAGCTAGTGAACCGAAGTTACGTCCCCCTGGGGAAAACATATTATAGGTTTTCTGCTACAAACTCACATCCTCTCTATCAATTTCCACTCCCAGTGCTTGCGCCTCCTGTTCATTAATGTTCATAGTTCAGTCTGTCAGTTTAATTTTGGGCTGCTTTGTAGGTATCCACAATAATTACAATATTTAATGCTGTTCCTTAAGGTTGAGCTAAACAGAGCAGTTTAAATGCATATGTTCTGGCCAATCTTTGACTCCCGTCCCACCTCTACACACTCCTCCACCCCCACGCACATATAAGCGTATGCACTCACTGTTGTTATGTAAGGTATCTTTCATCATACTAGGTCATTTCCCATTACCTCCTGCAGTATATCTGATGGCGACATTATTATTGATGCTACAGTAAACAGCTAATATATGTGGTAAAAATACATGGACTATCATGAATCAAAATGACATATCCACCCACCACACTCCCTCTACTCATTCTAATCGGATAACAGGGGTTTTCTTCATTGTACTGCAAAAGGAGAAGGTAACTTGGGGAAAAACATTCATGAAAATAGAGGGAAATCAAAGTAAAAATGTTTAGGCAATTAAGAACAGAAAGGAAGTGCATCTAAAACAGCAGTTCTCAACCTGTGGGTCGCGACACCTTTGGGGGTCAAACGACCCTTTCACAGGGGTCGCCTAAGACCATCGGAAAACACATATATAATTAGATATTATTTTGTGATTAATCACTATGCTTTAATTATGTTCAATTTGTAACAATGAAATTCGGGGTCACCACAACATGAGGAACTGTAGTAAAGGGTCGCGGCATTAGGAAGGTTGAGAACCACTGATCTAAAAGATTTGTGTCAAGGAAAATGTGAATTCATCTATTCTATATGTCATATTCTTAACGTGAAGTCCCCTGACACATGCAGCTCTGTTTCATATGAATAAAACAGCTAAAACATCACCATAAAACAGTCTTTCTAGAATTTATTTTGTAGAAAAAGCATGGGTTTGTTTTCATGTTTTCCTTTTGTTATTACTATATTTGCTAATTATCTTACCTAAATCTGGTATCTTTCTAACTCTGACAGAATTTTTGGTTTACAAAATGAGGTAAAAATAATTTAATTTTTTTCAGATTCCCTGTTTTTATTAGGAAGATGTTATTTCTAACCTTTTATTTCTATGTATTTAGGTTTGTGTTCCTTGGGAATAGAGTGCATCCTTATTACAAAATAAAATAAGACAAAAATCCAGAAGATAAAGGATAATACAAAAGAAAAAGGGAAATAATACCTAATTAGAATGTTAGAGCAAGAATAAAATTTAGGAATAGAAGAGAAGTTAAAAGTCTAAATTCTAACTGCCTCAAGTCATTTCTCAAACTCCAGAGCTTACTAGCTCTAGGACATTTGGTAAGCTGCTTGCTATCCTATATCTAGTAAGTTTCCTTATTAATAATATGAACATAATAATGGTGACCAACCCTCTCAATATTCCTGTAAAAGTAAATAGGATAAAACTGTGCCGGGTACATAACAGATGTCTAAGAAATACGAGTTCTTACTAGTAGTACAGATTAGAAAGTTGAGGCCCAGAAGTTTAAGTGTTTTCTCCAGGACAATTTAACTAGCTAATGGCAGAATTGTCATTAAAATGTGGGTCCTCTGAGTTTTTTGTACATTTGGTTTCTTTTCCATTAAGACCACGCTGGAGAAATTACTTTCACAAGAGAAAGTGAAATCGCAGAAAGTCCCTCAGATAAGCGTGGCCTAGATTTTAAAGAAGGAAAAGAAGAAGCTTGAGGGGGAGGTACATGTGCATACACAGAACAGACACACACAAACACACACACACACCCCACACAGCAAAATAAGAAGCAAAAAGGATGGGTGGAGGGTGGGAGCAAGTGACACAGACGGAAAACTTCCAATTAGACTTTTTATTATGACACAATTCATTAGAGCTTAATTACATTTATTACATAATTAATCAGAAGGTTAGAAGTAAAGGTCATGTTGAATGTTAATTACACATTCTTTAAAGAATTTCAAATATGTTAACAGCAGTACTTTCATAGACTGTCAGTTGTTATAAATTAACTCAAACTCTTGGAAGGCAATTTGCCATTATCTTTAAAAATTCAAACTGCATATATCCTTTTACTAATCAATACAACTGAGAAGTTATCCTACAGATTAATTTGTGGAAGTGTGCAAAACTGTGCACAAAAGGATGCCCAGTACATTAGTGGCATTAGGGAACATGGGAAATGTTTAAGCATTCATTAAAGGGAAAATTATGATTGCGGTGTATTCATAATGGAAAAAATGGGATGATACCAAGAGTTCCTCCAGATACACTATTAAATGAAAAACAAAATCAAGGTAGACAGAAATTTGCCAAAAATCTTTATCTGTGTATTTTTTAAATAAAGGATATAGATATATGAATATGTTTACACAAAAAATGCTACAAAGACACTTAACAGTAGTAATCTCTGAGAAACAGGATTAAGATCAGGAGGACAAGAAGACTGAGAGGAGTAAAAGTTTAATTTTATATGTGTATATATATATATACACACATATATATATATATCTACACTAATAAAAGAGAAACATGGTAATTGGCGTACGACAGCTTCCCTTCCCATTGGCTAATCAGCAAGATATGCAAATTAACTGGCAGCCAAGATGGCGGCCGGCAGCCAGGCAGCTGATGCGAACAGGGAGGCTTGCTTGCTTCAGTGACAGAGGACTCCAACCTTCCCCACCTGACTTGC